GAGTTTAATTACCTGCATAGGATTCACCAAATTAGGAAAGAGTGTTATCAATAAACAAAAGACAAATCAGACAAATCCGGGCATCTGTAACTGTAGCACTTGGACATGAGGATTTCCCCAGAACACTAAACATGGTAACAACATTGCCAGATACTTTTTTGGCACCTAGCAACAGACTGCCTCCAAACCAACCTGTCCCCCTGGTTGCCTTTTCAGCTGCACACTGGGTCGGCCAAGAGGAAGCCTGAGTCTCTATTGACAGTGACTGCCACAGTATAAAATACACAACAGATCAGATATATAACATAGAAGCAAATAGAAACTTGCAGCATTCTAGGGTGTGAAAATACATGTCTCATCACTCTGACAGCAGGAGAAAGAAGGGCAATTACAGGCGTGGCACTGCAATGCATAGTTGGAGGCAGAAGGTCACTACAGTTGATAAAACTTTTGCAAGTGGTCCGACAGCACTGGGGAAATATGTACAGGTAGATGCTTTTTGTTCAATGAATGCGCGCTATAGATTTGTTACATTTAGTTTACAGAAATAATGTTGGTTAACATTAAAAAAATTGTTTTGTCATCCTGTTGTTTAAAGACATGGTAATAATTTATAATTATTAATAACTATGCAATAATTATATAATTTTCAATAATGATTTAATGAACATGTCAATTAAAAAACAGGGAGGGGCTTGTCAAACACATACCTCCTCTTAGATGGTCATTAGCACCAAGAACTGCAAAGGTTGATTGTTCAATGGCATCAGCAGTACACAGCAATCACCCAGTGGCACAGTGGTGGTACAGAAATCAGATAAACAGGAAATGAAGAGGAGCACAATGTTAGTTAGATTTTTGTGTATGCATTTTCTTGTCCATGCTGTTTTTTTTTAGAAGAACCCCCTCTTCTCCCTGGAGTGGTATCCACCCTTTCCAAATTGTTTATTCTGGCCCGTACTTCCTATAGCAGTACGTTTTGCAACTAAAAGTCACTCAGCAGGCTAACAACACACAGGCAAGACATATGTAAGCTCTTCTTTGCTCAATGTTTCCATTCATTCACTCACCATGATAAAGTGTCTGCTTCGTTTTTGGTAAATTTTCTGACTTTCCAATAATGTTCGTTATAATTGTTAACATTTTTAAGATACTCTTGTTGTCTAATTTCATTATCTTTTTTGTTTTGAACCACCAAAGATAGCATAATTAGCTTCCTGTCACAGAGTGTTCTATGGAATTCCATAGCTGCCCTTGTGCGTCGCCCGCCGTGCGTTACCCGTCATTCGTTGCCCGTCTTTTTTTATCATGCTTGCGCAGTGCTATTTTTCACTTCGACCATTGATCTTTTTACATACTTGTTCATCCGCCATGCCTGTCTGTCCTTCCATGATATCCCAACAGATCATGACCCCGGAAATACAAGAGTAACTTTGAACTGAATTTATATAAGTTACTTACATTGTTTGATTCCTTAATATGTTTTATAAGAGACAAACTGATTCAACATTATTTTGAGGGCGGGTATACCTACGATGCGATTTGCTGTATACTCCAAATCAGACATGACTTGAGTTGCACATAGGCACACAGAAGTCTTTTAAACAGTAATGTCACTTTGCTAGCCCCATAAATAGCGCTGACATGCTGGACTACCTGTGCTCACTGGCCTATCCACCATGGCATACATGTACACACCCACAAAGGCCAATATTTTCTGAAAATTAAACCAAGAGACAATTGTCCCCATAACATTCAATAAACAGTTACTTATCCACAGCACAATTGACAAAACAATTTGCTGTCTAGTATTTGTGGATTTCAAGGTAAAATTGCGGGGAAACAATGAAATGTCTGTATCGCCTGGCAGAGTTAATTCTAGAATTTCATGAAAACAAATCAGTACATTTTTACAGTAGGCAAGAGTGAATTGTACTGCGGATAAGTTTGCCTCAACATTTTTGCGGGAAAAACAATTTTCCCTAAAAACACTTGGTTGAATTCTCCAAAAAGGCAGTGCGCGACAGATGACGCACGATGGCAGATATGGAATTCCATAGCGTTCCCCCTGCTGGCTGCACATGCCATGAGTAAATGTTTGGGCTGAAGCTCTGGACTGCTGGTCCTTGATTACTATTCTCTGTTGACAGGAATAGAACTTGTTACGATATTCTCTATCTTGTTTAACTGGATATTCATCATTTCGAACTGAATGGGTGCTTGTGCAGTCTTGAGATACCAAACATTTTTATGTTTCATTGTATCATGCATATAAGAAAACAAATTTCTTGTGTTTTTCTTTATCGTGACAGTTATAATAAATTAAATTAAATTGAATTAAATTGATTTCCCATTTTAAGTCCAGTGCAGACATTCCATGAAGTTTTCTTCTCGGTTAATTTGTATGTATATGTCTTTGACCCTGTAATATAAATTTTGTGACAGCAGTTTGTTCAAGTTTTAATTGTTTGTCTGTATTGAAGTTTCCTATAATTTTTTAACCACTGTGTTATGATTCTTTTCTTATATTTTTGGCTTATGTTCATATTTTCTAGGCTTGTGATTTACCCTTGTTGACTTCAGGTATACAGACTTGCTGTATACAAAGGCATCCACACACCACAGATGATGCCTTAACTTGTTACTTAAAGCATGGACCATTTAAAGGTAGGTTACACCATTGGTAAAATCCCAAAAATCAGATGACTGTGTAATCCAGGAATATCTTACTTGAAAGTGCATAACAGCCTCAGTCTGTATATATACCAGCAGAAATTCACCAAACACATTGGAAACTGAAATTAGAGGAAACTCAGTGTATTAAGGAATAAAGTAGAATATAAACTGGATCAGTGTAAAGTTAAAATTTATTTAAGGAAAGGATTTTCTTAAGTAAAAACGTTGCAAATTCAAAATCACCCCCAGAACATAATGCTATCGTCCAAATATGATGGCTGTTTCCATCTGCCCAGTGAGAGGATTTTTGTCAACAAAGAGTATGATTTCGACATGTAAAACCTCACGTATTTCAAGACATAATTTCCTTGTTGCCCGTATCAGTCGAAAACTAAGAATGGAGTTTTTAGACTTTCAGTGACAAACAAACTCATGCGAAAGTGTTTATTATTAGCACAATTACGAACGCTCGTGTAAATACTCGTTTGTTGCGTGTCACAGACACTAGTCGACTGCATACACGTGATTTTATATAACAGTTTTGCTCTTACCCAACGTATATTAATAAGCACTGTATGCTCAGTGCTTGTCCGAG